AAGTCCCTCACTTCAGAATAATGACATTGTTCATGTCAATGACTCTTCCTGTCCATAGAAACGAAATCCAAATGCCTGCGTCTTGAAACAAAAATCTGTCTGGCTGCTTCCTAGGTTCCAACCCGCGCTTTAATTATCTAATAACCTCTCTCTAACTTGAGACTTTGTGCCCACTTAACAGCTTGAAGTCAGGGAGCAAGATGCCTTCATTCACCTCTCGAGTACTTGGCCCCTTTTTTTTTAAAAAAAAAAAAAAGATTTATTTATACAAGCATGGGGTACAGGCCAGAGGCATGGGAGAGTGAGAGAATTCACCAGAGTCAGAGTGGGGAGCAGAACAGGCAGATGGACCGAAGACAATGCTGAGGGGAGCAGCGGTCAAGACAGGCAAGGTCTGCTGTGTGCCATGTGGGAATCTCCCTGGCCGGCCAGGAATTGAACCCACGCTGCAGAGGCTGTGGACAGCTTCACAGTGCGCGCTCAACCCGCTGCGCCACCAGGGGAGGCCCTACTTGGCCCTTTGTGCACATTCAGTTTCTGTGAAAAATGCCACCGGAATCTGGAGTTTGCCAAGGGAAGTCTGTACCTTTCAATAATATCAGTTACTCCAGTCAAACACAGAATACCCTCCCGTTTGTTTCTCTTTTCACTTTCTTTCAACAGTATTTCCTAGTTTTTCATTGTACAGGGTTTTCTTCATTGAATGTTTTCCCAGGTATTTAGTTCCTTTGGATGCAATTGTAAATGGTATTGTTTTCTGTTGGGTCACTGTCAGGGTGTAGAAACACAACTGAGTTGTGTGTATCGATTCTGGTTTCTGTAACTTTACTGAACTCCTCATTTCTAACAGTTTTGTGGGGTCCGGGGGATTGGTAGAGAGATGAAGAAATTTGGGATTTAAGAACTCCAGCTATTTCTACCACATCCTGGGTCATCTGCAATATATACTAACAGAATGTTCCCAGTGTCTCTTCATCACGTGTGGACTCCCACAAAGACTCTTAGGATTGGGTCTGGTCAGGGCTTATATTCCATAATGAATTTCATAGGGTCTCTGTCTTTCTGGAGGGGCATTTGCAAATAATTTACTTTCCATTACTTCAAATGCACAGGAAACGTGAATAGCAGCACAAAATACTCTATCTTATACTCAGATTCCTAATTACCACATATTTGATCACAGGAACCATTCCACTGTGTTTTCATCAGAGTGTTTCATTGTGTATTTAACCAAAATATCCCAGGGAACCATCACATATCTCCCAGTGAGTAAACCACCCGTGATTTCCATGTCCAATCGAATCCATGGGCCCATTTCAACCTTCACCCCCTGCCCCAACTGCATGAAAACATCTCATTCCATTTCTGACCTACGTTTCTCTTTTGAAACTGTTTGAAGGAATTTTCATTTTCACAACCTTGATGGATTTGATGTTTGCAAATGCCTATAATCTGGGTGGGCTTCTCTGTTTGACCTCTTTCACTTAGGTTCTGCTGTTCATCCATTTTTTTGCTGGTTTGTTGTTTATTTTTTATTTATTTATTTTTGTCACCTTTGTAGCCGATGTACCGGCATGGGTGCTTATAAGCTGCCTACTCTGGTGGTAATAAACCAAGAGAAAAATAAAATTATCTTTTTATAGTGGATTGTAATACAACCAGGACAAAAACAGGCCCGTATTTCAGCAATTCTCTTAATCTATTTTCCAGAACTTTTCTTCATAATACTTATAAAAAAATTAGTATCTGACATTTTTTCCTTTGGCTCTTTCTCTCCCCCCTTCTTCCCTCTTAACCTCAGACACCTCACTTGTTTCTCAAGTCCAGTACTTTTTATTAGTATTTTACGTTGTTTTCTCACCTGCCGTGTAAACAGCCAACATTTGTCTTTGCCATTCTCACTTGCTCTACTCAGAGGAGTCCCTCAAATTCCTTCCATTTTGTTGTCAGTGATGACGTTCTTTCCTTGTGGCTGAATAGTGCGCCATCATGTGGACAGACCACATCTCCACCCAGTCCTCTCAGCGGGCACACAGGTTGAAGCCTGTGTTGAGGTGTAATTCGGTCATCAATACGAGGAAGAGGTGAGCTGGGGATCTTGGCTGTCCAGGGCCTCTTCATTTCCCCACTGAAATTGATTTGACTGCTGTGGACACTCACCTACGTGGAATTTACTACCTTCCTCCTTTTGTGTCTGGGTAATTTATTGAGCTTGTTATGATGACCCTTCAGTTTCCTCCAAGTTGTAGCATGTGTCAGAATTCCCTCCTTGTTTAAAAGTGAATATGACGTTGTCCTTATGCCACATTTTGTTTTTACATTTGCCTGTGCCAGGGGCACCGGTTGTTTCTAGACATTGATAGATTGTGAATAACTCTGTGGTGAACATGGGTGTACAAGTACGTGTTTGAGTCGCTGCTCTCCACTCTTTTGGGTATGTTCCTGCAGTGGAACTGCTCTATCATACATGCTAATTTTGTGTTTAGTTTATAGGAGAATTGCCACCCTGCTTTCCACAGCAGCTACACCAGTTTGCTTTCTTCCTTTATTATTTTTTTTTTAATTTTTTTTTTGAAGATTTATTTATTTATTTATACAAGCACTGGGTACAGTCAGAAGCGCGGGAGGGTGAGAGAATTCACCAGAGCCAGAGCGGGGAGCAGAGCAGGCAGAAGGACCGAAGGACACTGCTGAGGGGAGCAGCGGGCGGCAGGAGAGGTCTGCGCGCCATGTGGGACCCTCCTCTGGTGGCCGGGGAGCAGCCGGGGATCGAACCGGCGCTGCAGAGGCTGCGGGCAGCTTCTCAACCCAGCGCTCAACCGCTGCACCACCGGGGAGGCCCCTGCTTTCTTCCTTTAATGGCAGAATACTGTTAAAGTTTGTGGATCTACCACATTTTGTTTATCTGTTCACTATTGATGGACATTTGCACTATTTCTACCTTTGGCTATTATGAACAGGGCTGCTCCAAACGTTTGTGTGCAAAATTTATCATGAAAACCTGTTCAGTTCTTTGTAGTATATATCTAGGTGTGGAAATGTTGGAGCAATATGGTGATATTATTTTTAACATTTTTGGGAAATGCCAAACTATTTTAAGCATGGACTGCCTTATTTTACATTTCCATGGAAATACTTACAATATTTGTTATTCAATATATCCTACATCTTCACCATTGTAAGTTTGTGAAGGAGATTGTGATTATAGTTTTGTTCATAATGACTAGTGATGTAAGTTTTTTTGGGTGCTTGGTAACCGTTTCTATGTGAACTTGAGAGAAGAGTCTATTCAAGTCCTTTGTCCATTTTAAAATTTGGTTTGCTTGTTGGTTGTGAAGTTCTTTGTGTATTCTGTTCAGCAGACTCTTGCCGGCTCTATAATGTTGAGGAACGTGGACCTGCAGCCTAATGGCATAAAAGTCAAACACCATGCCCCTGAGCTATTGAGGAATGAACCGGTTTAATGTGAGGTTACCTGGCAGGAGACTGGAGAGGGGGCTTTCAAATCTGTCTTCCCCAGGGTGTCCTTTGGGTAGTTTTATGGAGTCAAAGAATAGATACATAAAACACAAGTCGATAGGGTCCTGTTGGTAGCTTTCTGCTGAGTCATGGTGTACTTTGAATTTGGACCCAGAATTGCAACAAACTGAGCAACCTTGCTCCTGAAGTTGTCCATAGAACCACAATCAGGAACCTTGGCTCTGTTCCAGGGCTATTTTGGGTATGATCAATAAGATGTCATATCAAGGACAGCTAAAATCCTCTGGACTTGCACTCCAAATGCATTGTCAACTCATGAAAATAGTATTTTTTTTCTTTGTTATTTCATTGTTGCAAGCCCACCCTGCTGTTCTTGCAAGATAAGCAGAACAGGAAAAGACCATCACAACCATCTTCAGTTCAGTAGTGTCCATTTTCTCATGGAGCTAAGAAAACCCGGGTCACGTAATAAATTTTCCCATGTTACCACTCCGGTCCACAAGACGGCGCTCTCCGCTCTGCTATACTTGCATATGCCCCTGTAGCCCCTCCTCCTCCCTGCATATTTCCACGCTCATTTCTGCATGAGTAGAGTTTAGGGTCGTGTACAGCGCAGACACCAATGCGGGTACAGAGGAAAGAGCAGCTCCATGAGAAAATGCATGGTTCAAGGCCAACGTGCGCCATCTTGTGAACTGGCGTGGTAACGTGGGAAAAATCTGCGTTGAATCTGCGTCCAGGCCAAAATTTTCCCACATTACCACGCCATTCCACAAGAGGGCGCGCTGTGTCACTACACATGCACTTAACCCTAGAGCCCTGGCCTTTTCTTTCCACGCCCACTTCCGCCAGCGTGGACAGGGGAGCCTTGGAGTGCGCAGACGCCGACGTCGGCGCGGAGGAAGGAGAAGCTCCAGGGAAAACGCAGGGGGCGAGGGATGGGATGCGCCGTCCTGTGGCCCGGCGTGGTCATGTGGGGAAACTGATGTCTGCGCAGGCTGCTCTGGAAGTGGGCTCGGAGGAAGGACGGGCGCCAGTGGCGAGGAAAGACGGAAGGAAGGGAGACCAGAGTCTTGGGGGCCAGAGGGCGAATGCGAGAAGACCCTGTAGTCATAACTCTAGGAGACGGGCGAGCAGAGGCCCGGGGCGAGGGGGCGCGCGGAGTGGAGTGAGGTGCGAAAGGGGCCAAGCGCAGGATAATGACGGGGGCCCGTCGCCAATGACACGCGGAGACGGGACAGAGGGTCCGGCGGGAACGGAAGGGGCGGCCGGGCGGCGAGGAGCAGCGGGAGAAAGCGAGAATAAAGACGAGGGCGCCAAAGCAAAACGGAGCCGGGCGGGGCCGAGCAGAAAGCCAGGCGTCCAGGGGAGGAGGGTTGGAATTAGTGTCAAAAACCTTGAGGAAGACGACACGAAACATGTCTTCTCATTCATTCCAGAGAAAACAAACTCACACCACCCGCTGCAGGAACCTTGAATTTAAAAGTTTTATTTTAAACAGAAATAGTCATTCTACTTTTGGGAAATGACCTAAGGAAATGCTCTCAAATGCAGATAAAAAGCTTTATGCGCAAAAATGCTCACCAGCACTTTCTTTGTAGTAACAAATAATTGGAAATCAGCTAAACGAAAACCCCAGGGAATGGTAAAATAAATTACAGAACTGTCATAAATGAAATGCAGCCGTTAGCTACAATAATTCCTAATAGCTGTTAATGACATGGCAAGTACTTATGTCACAATGTTAAATGATTAAAGTAGAATATAAAATCCCAGAGATAGTGTCATTCCACCACAGGTGCAAAATATTAATGAGCGCTACTCTCTTTAGCCCTTATGTGTATGAAGAATGGAAAATTACTTTGCACCAGGTGGAATATTATGCAGCAGTTAAATAAGTAGGCTCTAGCTGCATCCAATAATGTGGATTAATCTTGCCTAAATGTTGTTGTTCCGTCAAAATGTAAGCATAATGTGGTTTATTTCACTTTTAAATACCAGACGAAATTAAAATCATACTTCAATTACACATTTAGTGATAAGTGATATAATGAAGTGAAAGGGAAACGATTTTCTTGAAAGTCATATTGGTGCTTACTTATGGAGGGGGAAGATTAGATATGATGTGCTTTTATCTTTCTTGACCTAGTTAATGGCCCTTCATTTTGTCCTTCTCAAGCTCTACATCATTACTATCTGCCCTTATACGCAAGTGTAATCTTTCACAATTAAAAATACTGGAAAGTAATAGGGGAAAAATAAGCTAATTCAGAAAGTATTCATCTTTGGCTGGAAAAGTCAGCTGGCTCTAGTTCATTATGTTTGTTTAGTACTTGTCCAAATTTTGTGATGTACACAACTCCCTTTTATTATCAGAACCACTCAACTGAAGCTCATGAAAAAAGTTGTAGCTGAAATTTTCTCCTTGCTCAGGGGCTGGTGAAAAGTTACTGGTAAGTTTTATTTGGAAGTCTTAAGAATAATGCTGTGGTGATGAGAAACTTCATTTAAGGATGAAAATCTGGGCTTGCTGCTAATCAAACAGGTGCAGGTGGGCAGAGCAGCAGCATTTGGAGTGTTAATGTCAAGGTCACCTCATTTTACTTTAGTGAGGGAGCTTGGCTTTAGAGCCTGAACCTATGCTCCTGTTCACTTTTCTGTTTGGAAATCCATTCTGTTTACTCGAAAGTTGTGTATACTTTACCTTAAAACAAACAAAAATAAGAAGATGACACAAACTGCCAATTCTGGGCTCCCTGTGGCTTTCCAAACACAAGAGTTCTGTAAGTTGTATCTACCTGTTGGGAGAACAAGACAAAATTATGAATGGAGTCATGACATTTCATAAAACAAAATTTACATAACTGGAAGATCCTTCCTGTGGGTAGTTAACTGTCTTCACAAAAAAGAAAAGAGAAAAGAACAGAATAGAATGAAGTTCCTGTGTGCCAATCAACTTGCCACACATCAATATAAATCCAGGGTCCTGGCAAGCAACATGCGTTGTCATGTCATCTAGAGCTCAAATCCTGATTCATTTCAGCAGAGACTCCATAGGCAACAAGAAAGATCGTGGCAATAAAATGCTCATTTACACTTTTGTGGTAGTTCAACAGTGATCTTACTTCTGGGCAAGCTTGCAAACCACACAAGGTTGGAAGCACCTTACCTTATATGGGTGCCAAGACTCAAGTAAGAAAAGGGAAGGAAAAAGAAAGAAGACCCTCAGGGAAAAGCCAGAGGCACTTAAAGGCACCACAAGCATGCCAACGATATTTAACATCAAAGCTCCCACCACCACCTTTTGAAAAAGGGGGATTTTTCTTTTTATCAGCCATCAATGAAAGAGTGCCACTAACACACTGTGGACACCTCTGCAATGGATCTCCAGCCCCTCTTCTTTTGAACATGGTGAATTTCACCCTAGCAATGATGACAACAAATGTTGTCATCAAATGTGCAAACCTCAACACACTTTAGTAATTTTGAAATTGAATTGGTACAAACCAAATACAATTTACATCATAACAACATTGCCACCTTGGACTGTGGGGATACTCGAGCCTTCTGCGCTGATCTCGGAATTTTTAGGTTAGTAACTTTTTTGAGAAGACAGGGATATTTGCTTCCGTTTCAGTTTGAATTTCCAAGATGCCACCATGTGAGGGGTCTTCCCAGTGGGCTTGGGCCCCTGAAAGAGTTCCAGCCTAGCCTGAGCGTGCTCCCTGGGGACAGGGACTCGGAGGGGAGCTCATGCTGCTGGCACCTGGTCTCTTCAGGACCCAGCGGGGAGGCGCCATATGCGGTTTGATCTAGGGACCTCGTTGGGCCCTGAGAGGACAAGATGAACCCACAAGTGAAAGGAAAGTGAGGAACATCTCCCTGTGGGTGGCTCAGTGTGTGTGTGGGGGGGTGACCCGAGGGGCGTCACGTCTGTTGGAGGGGTACAGTTGGAGGACCCAGTGTGGGAAGGGCTGGATGTGGAAACCAAGGGGCTTTTTTGGGTGGTTTGGTGCCTGGGGTCCGGTTTCATTCCCCAGCAGCACACCTGTCAAAACCTCTTCTCAGAGGGGATCCCCAAGAGTCCCACGGGCGCAGCAAAGTCTGACACTGCCTGGCACTGAGCTCCCTCAGGAGAGAAATCACAAGAATGAGGTAAAAATGCACCACTGTCCACACATAGGAGGCTCGCCCTGCAGCACTGTGCTCGGGACACCGGCCGTCCTGCTGCCCGATAGCTGAGTTCTCGCATGGTCACCTGACCGCCTGCATCTTCGCCCCTGACCTGAACTCCCACCCTGGAGGGGTGAGACAACCCCACTGTGCCCTACAGAGCCCACAGGTCATGAATGCCTGCAGCGCGCTATCATGCCAGTCATCAACCAGGCCCCGCCGTCTGGGAGAGGTTTGCAGGGCGCCTCTACGCTTTCCCCTCCAGCTTCAGCCAGATCTGTGCTTCCACTCTGCATCCAATAAGGAAAGGAGAGAGGAGCTGACAGGCCAGAACCCCGAGACTCCTGTCTTGGCCCAAAGAGAAGGGCTTTAGGGCCAGACCAGCCCAGGTGGGGGCCATGGTTTTGTCCTCCAATTCCTGTGGCCCAGTTTCATTATCCAATCAAGGGAAAGTGACCCCCTCACTGTAGAGGGGTGTGCGAGCCTTCACCGGTGACTTCCCGAGTGCCCACTCTCCGTCACCAGGCGGGGATACAAGAGGAGCCGACAGCTCAGAGCGCCCTCGGGGGACGTCAGGCAGGCGGGGCAGCTGCAGCAGACACAGCCGCGACTGACAGAAGCTTGAGAGTTCGCGCTCTTCCCTGTAAGGGACTCATGCGCACCTGGATGGGGGGGGGGGCGCCGGGAGTTGGGGGGAGTGGGTGTCTGTGTCAGGCCGGGCTATGTAGAAGTAGATAATCTGAGAACTGGCCCTTGAAAAAGCCAGTCAGGTGAACGGGGGTGGAGAAAGAGAGAGTGGGCATGTCAGAGGGAGGCTGCAGCCCTGAGCAAGCAAGGGCCAGACAAGGAGAGCCCCGTAAGCCGTTTAGAGGCTTGGACTGTATCCTGAGGACACTGGGCACCCAGGACGGGCTCTAAGGCTTGAACTGATGGCGCGACACGCAGGTTCGCCTTCGGTAGGGACAGTGCGGCAAGAGAGAGACTGCAGGCCGCCTGGGGGACACCCGCTGCCTCCCCAGCTGGGCGGCACAGCACTCTGGAGACATGAGTCCGCCGCCCAGAGAGTAACCATACGCTCTTGCTTTCCCGTGAGCAAGGTCAGACCGCAAGTCCTTTTCAGTCCACCGGAAGGGCGAATGATAAAGCCCTGCAACCTTCAGGGCGGGGGTTGGGGTGTGTGTGTGGGGGGGGGGGGGGGTGGCCAGCAACCGAGTTACTGACGCCCGTGACCAGAGAGCCCGCGCTGGGAGGCGGGATTCTACCTTTACGGCCAGTTTCACATTTTCCAGTATCGTGTTTCAAACTTCCTCACCTAATGCCTATTATCTGATTACTTTATACACCATGCTGACCCTGTATAGAACTTAAAAGCCACCAGAGAGCAGCATGTTGTCTGGGTGTCACTAGAAAGCAGCTGACAAAAGAACAATCCTACTTAGAGGTCCACCCAAGGGAAGGTGGGAAAATCTCCCAATACGATGGTAACTGGCCATCTACACATAACAAAACACCTTTATCTCTGAAATATTCTTTCTTCATCTTCTGCAGACAGACCTACTGTGTCTTTCTAGAAAAATAACAACTTAATTCTGTTTGAGAGAATTGATTGTTATGAACCTTTTTGAATGAATGTTATGAACTTTTTTCCACAGTTGGCAAAGGTGTAATTAGAGGGGATGCACTATTTATATGCACTTTATTTCAATTTTCAGATAAAATATTTTGTTGCCAGGTCAAAATGAGAAAACTATTCTTGGGTGGTATTTTTAGCAACTTGGATTCTTTGTCCATTTACATGTTGCAATAAAAGCTATCCCACATTAAGTCTCAGTTACCTGCCTGCCTCGTTCAACCTGAGCTTCATCAACTCCGGCATGAGGGGCTCCATTAGCCTAAAACAGAAAGCCAGTCAGGGAATTGAAAGGAGAAATGAGCAAAAGGAGAAATGGCTCCATCTGAAGGTACATAAACCTTTTCCCTTAGGAGGAATTTGTTTTTATAAAAGACCATAAAGATTCTACAAGACTTTGCTTTGTCACCTGACACTGTGCAAATCCAATCTGACCCTGATGATTTGGAATGCAAATATTGTGATATTAAATGAGCAAACAAAAAAGCCAGTGAGTTAGCTATTAAGGGTTGAGGTTGGATGTTCCAAAACACAACCAAACTCAGGCCAGAATCAAGCAGGTATCAGAAAGGATTAAAAGATTCTAAGGGAATCTGTTTAACCTTATTCAGACCAGTCAGGCTTCCGATTTTTTTTTAATCAAACTGTATAGTCTCCACCCAATACCTGAAGGAACACATCCTCTGGTTGTGCCCTGAAGTAACCCCCACCACACCGTCCCGTCTCCTGCCTGAGACTTTTTCTGCAACAGAATAATTTCAGACTTACTTACTTACAGCTTCTTTTCAACCAGAAAAAAAAATACACCCTTCCCCATTACACAGATGGGATAGACATAAAGGAAGACATAGTTGATGGATTCACATAAATGTCCTCTACTCTCCCTCTGAGTGCCCTGGACACTAAAGGCAAAGGCTTTTGGGGAGTGGCCAGAGGAGAACACGTTAGCATTTCTAACTGGCTGAGTCCTGATTTAGACTAAAACTAAATGTCCTGGAGACTCTAATTTATTCACGGCATGGCCTGTAAAGGAGAATAATAATGGGAACAAGAACACAGAATGAGGAAAATACTGTTAGTCTCTAATACACATGCACACATACGGGTGTGGGACCTCACACGTGTAAAAAGTGGCATAATTTTCTTGTCCAGGAAATCAGGTATTTTTAATTTGTGAAACTGATAATTCTATTTGTGAGTGGTATGGTTTGTATTTCTTAGACACCCCCTCGGGAAAGCCACAGTTATATCAACTAAATGAGAGGGGCTGCTGCTGAGTCTGGAATCTTTAACAGTTTGTTGTTGTTCTTGTTGTTTTTTAAACACTCCTGCAGAGATAAGTTATATAATTTTTCTTTTTTGAAGGAATAAATGTGTAAAATAAAAATGCCTGTGATGTATAATGTAATGGACACTTACAAGACTGAGGCCTGGTAATTTCCACCTGCAGAAGCCAACATCTCCAAAGGTGACAGCCTTCATTTTCCAAGTCAAAGAAGAAACAGAACCAAAGGAGGGATTTTTCAGATTAAATGTGATGGTTTATGTACATCGCTCGGTAAATCTCTCCATCACCCTTATTAATGATCACTTGAAATTTATTAACTCGGTGGTGGAAGAAAGTGGCAGAACCGAATGAACGTAGCTGACATAAATGTTAACGGGACACCCCAACACGGGCACCTGGTAAACACAGGCGGACAATTACTCCTGTGATATGGGTTGGCAGAATGATAAATCTTAACCCTAGTCTAATCATGAAAAGACATCAGTATTATACAAATTTTGATGCACCTATTGCTCCCATGTTGTGTGATCTCTAGCTCTCGTCACTAATTTCTCTTTTTGGGCATTTTCTAAGTTACTCTGGGCCATCCTGCTGGAGTTGCATTCTGCATCCTGCTGCGGTGAATTGAGGTCGCACAGTAGGAAACCTAAAAGCTATACTTTCCCCTTCTTACTCTTCCCCAGCTCCCTCCTCATCCCCATGGGGTCCTCACAGAGGGAATATTTTCAATACGTGAAGATCATTGATTCATGGTGAGGATTTTTCATGCCACGCAGAAACTCTGGAATCAGAGGATGGCATGACAGCTCTGGGACACAAGGAAAAAGCACACTAAAGACTTGACTTTGATCTTCACAAGAAGTAAAGGGGTCACGAAAAAGTGGTTGACAACTGGTATAAGGGCAAAAGGGGACAGAATAATTCCAGAGAGGAGGTGCAAGGTTTTGATTTGGAATCAGAGGCAGCCCCACCTGCAAAGGAAGTGGAAGTATCACCATTACCGAAGGACAGTGGCTATCTCCTCGGCTATGCAGAGTTTCTTTAAAATCAAAAATACTATGGGAAGCGGTATAATAAAATATCCATGGTACAAAAAAACCCCAAAAATAGCAGAGATGATAATTGACTGGGGAGGGATGAGTACTTGGGGGCCTGTGGGTGGGGATTGGGAATGAAGGAAAATAAGAGGCAGCAGAAATGCCCAAAGCCTCCCAATGAGCGAAAGAGCAGTATGGCTTTGAAAGCCAATTAACCATTCCAGTCCAAAAACGATTTTTCTACAAGGAAACCATAGATTTAGTAGGTAATGGAGGCCACGCAGATTTCATTATTTTGGGCAGTGTTAGGGGAAGCACTTAGGAAGTGGGGTGAACATTATAATGGTGACGATTGGCTAAAACACCATCATTAAGAAGGAGAGTCGGTGGAGCCTTAGCTCCTCAAAGGGTCACCATCGGGGTTCCTCCTAATGTCTTCATTGCCAATCCGCATGGAAAATGAACATCCGATCGGTGTGAGGATGGATGGTACCGAGCTGTCAGATGGTGCCAGGCCAAGAAAGTGAGAGAACAGTTGTATCTAGAGAGGTAAGGAGTAGGTCAGGAACGAATCTGAAATAACTAAAACAAAAATTAAGCAAAAGAAACAGGAAAGAGAAGGCTGGAACTCGCCAGCAACAGTTCTGAAGGTTAGAACGGCAGCTATTGACACGTGCTGCTAGGCCACAACCCAGCCTCAGGAGAGACTCAAGACCCCGGTTAGCTAGAACACAAGGGGAGAACAGATCCAGACTGGGGTCCACTTGCCCTGTTATTAAAGAAATCATAGTAGCCTTGCCCTTCTTTTCCCATCCCGCAGACACCTGCTCTGGGTGTGCAGAAAGCTTCAATTCCTTAGTTGTCATAATATGTGTTGCTGATACATCACCCTCTGATGTCGCTTCTGAATGATGATAAAGTGTGCAGGGGATGACAGCAAGAGGGACTAGGCAGGTAAGAGCCAAGTGTGGGTAAGGTTGGTGAGAACCCAGCTTTTCATGAGGCTAGCTGCCTACTCACTGCACCACGTGAGGCTGTCACAGCAGAGCAGGAAACACCCCGGAGAGGAGAAGCTGCATCACTGTGATCTTTCTCAGCATCAGAAACCTCCGGGAAATCCTATGGAGATGGTCAACGATGCAGACACACCCACAGGGAATGGACTGATGGTTGCACTGATCCCAGCAGAGCGCTTGTAAAGAGATCTTATCTGAAAAGAAGGGAAAGGAAATGTTAAAGGACAGAAAACATTATTGAAGAGTGGAGCTGAATGAAGGAGATATGTGGTGAATTAGGGAAATGTACAGGTTAAGGAACCAGGACTTCTGACAGCAAGAACCTCTGTTTGTGTAACATATTGGCCAACTTGGCTATCTGGGACACTGACAGCAGACCTGAGAAAAGCCAAAGCAAAGCCCCACAGGGAGAACCTCCACTGGTTGCTGGAAAAGAAGGGGATGAGCCCCTTGCCCCTCATGGGAGTCTCCCTCAAGCTCCCCCAGGTCCCAGCTGCAGTGGTGAAGGCAGAAGTCCAGGCACATGCAGGGGCACGTGCTCCTGAAAGACCAGATACAAAGAAACCAATGCATGATTCCATGACCTGGTCAAGGGTCATCCTCTCTTGTCTTGATCATCTAAACACATTTGAAATGCAATCACTCCCTCTTCTAATGATATTATCTTGGTAGGGATGAGAGGAAAGCACCTCTGTAAGGTTTAATCTCCAAGGAGAGACAGAATTTTTGATCTTATGCAGTCTTTCAGAGAGGTTAAGCTCTCACATAAGGGACCTCCCGGGTGGCCTAGTGGTTTTAGCGCTATCATCTCTATGGCCTGAGTTCGATCCCCACCATGGCGCTGTAGACCCGTCCAGTCTTGACACTGCTCCCCATAGCAGGGTATTTGAGTAAATCCGCCTGTCTGTTCTCTCACCTGCTGCACCTCTGGCCTGCAGCCCAGTTCGTCTTCTTAAAATAAATAAATAAATAAATAAATAAATAAAGAGGGAGGGGCCAGAGCAAACCTATCAAGTAAGAGATGTTTGCTAAATGTAAACTTTGGGTGATTATCTTTGTGCATATCTTGTAGAAGCATTACAAGGGCTCACTTAGAATTCTTTGTAACCTCCATAGTAGCTAACCAGGTCTTGGGTATCATTTCTTCAGAAGCTTTAAGAAAAAGGTGTGGCCAAGGCCCTCAGGGGCGCCCAATGGGGTTGGGGGATGGGAGGAGGAGTGATTATAGGAGATAAGGACCCTGCTGGACAAAAAGGGAGAGGGAGAAGCTTCTCGGAGACACCAACACCTGGACAGCACCTGTGTTAGCCAAACAGAGTAGAGGTACCACCCATTACAGGCACTCATTTACTACTGGCTCATTAATTATAGTTCATTTTGGTTTGTGACGATTACCTGGAAAATCTCTCGAAGATAGGGAGCTAGTTCTTATTGCGATGTTTTTATTACAGTCAACTAAAAAGATAAATCTATCCATCCCAGTGTCTTGGTACATAATCCAAAAAAATACTATCCCTTACCTATGGCTGAAGTAGACAACACACTCATAAGTTTTCTTGATCTCCTTATTTTGTAGCAAAAGTTTTTGAATGCTTTCAAAAAAGATGACATTTTGCTTACTTGAAATATGTGTGCATATTTTCACATAAAATATACCTGGCGATTAATGAACATAATTGGGTTGCTACACCTGCAAGAACTTAATTTTTCATTAAATTTGTAGAAATATCCTGGGTTTCCTCCAGGGCTGCCATTGAAACCAATAAAATACATCCTTCCATCAATGTGGTGTAATAATTGATTCCTCAAGAGAGAGTTTCAGCCAAGAATAATAAGCCCAGTAGTCTCATTGTGCAAAGATTAATAAAATATTGTTTAAAACACAGTTGCTGAATTAATACAACAGGGGAGAAAACACTGCCAAATGCAGTGTAAGACTAGGTGTATCAGAAAGACACAAACTCAGAGAGGGGAAGAAACTATTGAAATGGTGATGGTTGTGATGGTCATTTCCTGTTCAGTTTAGTTTATTTTGTAAGAACTGCAGGGTGAGCTTGCAACAATGAGATAACAAAGAAGAAAATAACTATTTTCATGAGTTGACAATGCATTTGGAGTACAAGTCCAGAGGATTTTAGCTGTCCTTGATGTGACAACTCATTGGTCAGACCCGAAATAGCCATGGAACATAGAGCCAAGATGCCTAATTGTGGTTCTATGGACAACATTCGTGAGCAAGGGTGCTCAGTGTGTTGCAATTCTGGGTCCAAATTCAAATTACACCATGACTCAGCAGAAAGCTACCAACCGTACCCTATCAGCTTGTGTTTTATGTATCTGCTCTTCGACCCCATAAATACTACCCAAAGGCTACCCTTGGGAGGCTGATTTGACAGCCCCATCTCCAGTCTTCTGCCAGGTAACCTCACATTAAACTGGTTCTTTCCTCAAAAGCATGGTTTTTGACTTTTGTGCCATCAGGTGGCAGGTACATGTTCCTCGACATTATAGATCCGATAAGAGTCTCATGATCAGAATACACAAAGAACTTTCACAACTGACAAGCAAACCAATTTTTAAAATGGACAAAGGACTTGAATAGACTCTTCTCTAAAGTTCACGTAAAAAATGGTCACCAAGCATCTGAACAGACTTTCAACATCACTAGTCATTATGGAAATACAAATTAAAGCTATAATCACAATCCCTTTCACACACTTACAATGGTTAAGATGCAGAAAATGTTGAATAACAAATATTGTAAAAATGTCTGTGGAAATGTAAAATGAGGCAGTCCATGCTTAAAATAGTTTGGCCTTTAGTATTACCATTGGATCCAACATTTGACACCTAGATATATACCACAAAGACCTGAACAGGTGTTAACAATAAATTTTGCACACAAATGTTTGCAGCCACCCTGTTCATAATAGCCAAAGGTAGAAATAGTGCAAATGTCCATCAATAGTGAACAGATAAACAAAATGTGGTAGATCCACAAACTTTAACAGTATTCTGCCATTTAAGGAAGAAAGCAAACTGGTGTAGCTGCTGTGGAAAGCAGGGTGGCAATTCTCCTATAAACTAAACACAAAATTAGCATGTATGATAGAGCAGTTCCACTGCAGGAACATACCCAAAAGAGTGGAGAGCAGCGACTCAAACACGTACTTGTACACCCATGTTCACCACAGAGTTATTCACAATCTATCAATGTCTAGAAACAACCGGTGCCCCTGGCACAGGCAAATGTAAAAACAAAATGTGGCATAAGGACAACGTCATATTCACTTTTAAACAAGGAGGGAATTCTGACACATGCTACAACTTGGAGGAAACTGAAGGGTCATCATAACAAGCTCAATAAATTACCCAGACACAAAAGGAGGAAGGTAGTAAATTCCACGTAGGTGAGTGTCCACAGCAGTCAAATCAATTTCAGTGGGGAAATGAAGAGGCCCTGGACAGCCAAGATCCCCAGCTCACCTCTTCCTCGTATTGATGACCGAATTACACCTCAACACAGGCTTCAACCTGTGTGCCCGCTGAGAGGACTGGGTGGAGATGTGGTCTGTCCACATGATGGCGCACTATTCAGCCACAAGGAAAGAACGTCATCACTGACAACAAAATGGAAGGAATTTGAGGGACTCCTCTGAGTAGAGCAAGTGAGAATGGCAAAGACAAATGTTGGCTGTTTACACGGCAGGTGAGAAAACAACGTAAAATACTAATAAAAAGTACTGGACTTGAGAAACAAGTGAGGTGTCTGAGGTTAAGAGGGAAGAAGGGGGGAGAGAAAGAGCCAAAGGAAAAAATGTCAGATACTAATTTTTTTATAAGTATTATGAAGAAAAGTTCTGGAAAATAGATTAAGAGAATTGCTGAAATACGGGCCTGTTTTTGTCCTGGTTGTATTACAATCCACTATAAAAAGATAATTTTATTTTTCTCTTGGTTTATTACCACCAGAGTAGGCAGCTTATAAGCACCCATGCCGGTACATCGGCTACAAAGGTGACAAAAATAAACAAATAAAAAATAAACAACAAACCAGCAAAAAAAACAGATGAACATGAGAATCTAAGTGAAAGAGGTCAAACAGAAAAGCCCACCCAGATTGTAGGCATTTGCACACATCAAATCCATCAAGGTTATGAATATGAAAATTCATTCAAATAGTTTCAAAAGTGAAACGTAGGTCAGAAATGGAATGAGATGTTTTCATGCAGTTGGGGCAGGGGGTGAAGGTTGAAATGGGCCCATGGATTCGATTGTGACATGGAAATCACAGGTGGTTTACTCACTGGGAGATATGTGATGGTTCCCTGGGATATTTTGGTTAAATACACAATGAGACACTCTGATGAAAACACAGTGGAATGGTTCCTGTGATCAAATATGTGGTAATTAGGAATCTGAGTATAAGATAGAGTATTTTGTGCTGCTATTCACGTTTCCTGTGCATTTGAAGTAATGGAAAGTAAATTATTTGCAAATGCCCCTCCAGAAAGACAGAGACCCTATGAAATTCATAGTACAAGCCCTGACCAGACCCAATCCATCCAATGACGAGGAGCTAAGAGTCTTTGTGGGAGTCCACACGTGATGAAGAGACACTGGGAACATTCTGTTAGTAGATATTATGTCCTGCATGTTGCAGATGACCCAGGATGTGGTAGAAATAGCTGGAGTTCTTAAAATCCCAAATTTCTGCATCTCTCTACCAATCCCCCGGACCCCACAAAACTGTTAGAAATGATGAGTTCAGTAAAGTTACAGAAACCAGAATCAATACACACAACTCAGTTGTGTTTCTAGACCCTGACAGTGACCCAACAGAAAACAATACCATTTACAATTGCATCCAAAGGAACTAAATACCTGGGGAAACATTCAATGAAGAAAACCCTGTACAATGAAAAACTATGAAATACTGTTGAAAGAAAGTGAAAAGAGAAACAAACGGGAGGGTATTCTGTGTCCGATTGGAGTAACTGATATTATTGAAAGGTACAGACTTCCCGTGGCAAACTCCAGATTCCGGTGGCATTTTTCACAGAAACTGAAGGTGCACAAAGGGCCAAGTAGGGCCTCCCCTGGTGGCGCAGCGGGTTGAGCGCACCCTGTGAAGCTGTCCGCAGCCTCTGCAGCGTGGGTTCAATTCCTGGCCGGCCAGGGAGATTCCCACATGGCACGCAGCAGACCTCGCCTGTCTTGCCCGCTGCTCCCCTCAGCATTGTCTTCGGTCCATCTGCCTGTTCTGCTCCCCACTCTGACTCTGGTGAATTCTCTCACTCTCCCATGCCTCTGGCCTCTACCCCCATGCTTGTATAAATAAATCTTTTTTTTAAAAAAAGGGGGCCCAGTATTCGAGAGGTAAATGGAGGCATCTTGCTCCCTGACTTCAAGCTGTTAAGTGGGCACAAATTCTCAAGTTAGATAGCGCTTATTAGATAATTAAAGTGCGGGTTGGAACCTAGGAAGCAGCCAGACAGATTTTTGTTTCAAGACGCAGGCATTTGGATTTCGTTTCTATGGATAGGAAGAGTCACTGACATGAACAATGTCATTATTCTGAAGGGAGGGACTTCTCTTCCAAGTTGTCCAGCCTAACCATATGCAGAGATGCTGGAGGAGGGCAATGGGGCTTTGATCTCTACTTTTCTAGAACAATGCCCTCAAGGCTGAGCACCCATTGCTACATCTTCATCTGCCTCCAGGGCCCACAGTGGCGGTGGACAGACCGCCTCACCATCAGAAGCAGATGTCCTGGGCAGTGCAGGGTGGAGACTGCTCAGACTGCGTGGGAGTCGGGGAGATGGCTTTGCCCTCCGGCCTGCTAGACCTAGAGGTGTGGGGGGCGCGGGGAGAGTGGAAGTCGGGGTAAAGGGAGGCTGTCAGCCCCCAAAAGTTTTACAATATGTTCCCCAAACTACACTGTGATAAAAACACACAGATGGATGGTACAGAACAGGGCGCCCAGAAAACTCACACCAGGTGTCATCAATTTACCACGAAGGCGCCTCATCGAAGGCGGCTGGACACTGACCCGACGGCTCAGGAGGCAACCCGCACCCTAAGTTCCTCCAGGCCCAGTGACGCACCCCAAAAAGCCCTCCCTCCAGCCCCGAGTTTTCACAGCCAGCCTTTCCCGCGCTGGTCCTGCAGCTGGGCCCCTCCACAGTCCGCCACCCACAGAGAGCGCGCGCTTCTCCCCTCCTGCTCCCTTTGGCTCACGTTCGGGAGGCCCCAGGAGGTCCCCGGTCACATCACAGCTGACGCCTCCTGGAGGGGTCCAGGACTGACCAGGCAGCCCCAGGCACCGACTCCCCGCGCAGGTCGGGGAGTCCCAGAATCACCTCCAAGGGGAGGACGCTGCCGGGAGGCGCATGCGCAGTCAGAGGGCCGGCGGGCAGGAGGGGCGGGCAGGAGGGGCGGGCAGGAGGGGCGGGCAGGAGGGGCGGGCAGGAGGGGCGGGCAGGAGGGGCGGGCAGGAGGGGCGGGCAGGTGGGGCGGGCAGGAGGGCGGGCAGGAGGGGCGGGCAGGAGGGGCGGGCGGGCAGGTAGGGCGGGCGGGCCGGCCCCGCCCGCAAGACGCCCCGACGGTGGCCACGCCCGCCCAGCAGGCGCTCTGCAGCCCCCGTTTGGAAATCCAAACTCGAAGCGAGGCAAATCGCCCACCTCTTCTCCAAAAACAGCGTCAGTGAGAGTTCCGGGAGCCACAACACGGCAGAACAGGTCTACCTGGATTTAAAAAGTTATTCAGGATTATTCAGCAGCGACCACCGACGACTCCATAATAATAATGGCACAACGGTGTGGGATTTGCTCCTCCCTCTCTGCTTTGCCTCCGCCTTCCCCCGCCCGGTCCTGCCCACCTGAGCGCGTCCTTCTCTCCGCCGCGCCTGCATCTCCCCGCCTGGCCACCGGGCGCCGCGCGCGGCCTGCTCTGCGCCTGCACCCCAGGGCCCCCTCCACCCCCGTGCACCCTGGTCTCTCCGCTGCCCTTCACTCATGAGGGCCCTCTCACTGCTGCACATAAGCTGTAATTTATTTAGCCATTTCCTGGGGCTTTCATTGCGATTGTTTCCAATGATTTGTTACTATAAGAGAGTGCTGCTGAACGTTTTACACAGAAAGATTTTGTCTGTATTTCACAGCATTTCCTTAGGTCATTTCCAGAAAATAGAATTACTGTGTCCAGCAGTAAATTCACAGTTCTCCGCAGAAGGATGGTACAAATTTATCCTTTTCTCGGGAATGAATGAGAGGACACCTTTCAGTTCACCTTTGCCAACAGCACCCCCACCTTTGCTCTCCATCACCCGTCGCCCCGCTCCCTCTGGTGGTGAAGCAAGGCGCCTGGGGTCCTGTGATAAGCAACTTGCTGCATTTCTTGAGCTGTAACTCTTGTCTCCTCTGCCCTTTGACAGTTACTATGTTAACGTGACCAGCACAAGCTAAAATGTATATAAGCCCAAAATGTCTTCAAAGGAGAGCTCAGCATTTGGATAAAGATCCACTGAGTCAAGTACCTGTACAATAAACCTACTTTTTGTTAGCCTCCTGTTTTGGTTTCCTTTTGCCACATTACAGTAACTTCAGCTTTACAGTCAGATTTGTTGTTTTTTTCTTTTTTTAATTAATGAGTCTTTGTTGATATTTTAGCAGCATAGGATCTCTCCCTATGGTGTGGTTATCCTAGCTCTCCCACCATCACAGTCCTCCAACGGTGCTCCACCACAGTGCATTGTGCTCCCCCCACATTCTCATCCCTCTCCCTCCTTCTCTGCCTCAGTCTCACCCACAGCCCTCTTGGATGCCTCATTTCTAATATTGGTTTACAGGGATTGCATTTAAAGACTGTATTTGCATGTCCCATTGTTTGGTTTCTTTCTATTCCATATATAAGTGACACCATCAGGTATTTATCTTTCTCCTTATCTATCACCTCAGGAAGCTGTTTACTATAAGAACCAGGACAACTCAGGTTTTGAATTTGCATTCTCTGTGGATTGAAAGAAAGTTTGGCTTTCAAAGTTGACATGAGTAGAAAATAGATTGAGATCTACTGATAACAAGCAACTAAACTGGGGGCAAGTTATTACAAACAAATTGAAAGGAAACCTGATGAGACAAACTAAAGTTCTAGTAGAAGATTTCATACCTGCATCTGAGGTTACTGTGATACAGGATCATCCTTTGGGAAACTAAAACAAAGATAGAAAGTGTTCATTTGTGGGCCTCCACTGGTGGCGCAGCGGTTGAGCACTGGGCTGCGAAACTGCCCGCAGCCTCTGCAGTGCCGGTTCGATCCCCGGCCACCAGAGTGGGTCCCACATGGCGCGACAGACCTCTCCTGCCATGCCCGCTGCTCCCCTCAGCAGTGTATTTCATTACTCTGCCTGTTCTGTTCCCCACTCTGGCTCTGGTGAATTCTCTCACCCTCCTGTACTTCTGACTGTACCCAGTGCTTGTATATATAAATATGCTTGTATATATAAATAAATAAATCTTAAAAAAAAAAGGAATAAGTTAATTTTTAAAAGAGTGCTCATTTGATAATATTCCACAAATGCTCCATGGTAACTTGAAACAAGATAGTAGAAGACTGGTAACTTATGCCGTCTTCCTTTAGAAAGAATTTTAGGACAATTTTCCAGACATTTATTACACTTCATTTTATATAAATTTTATTGTTAAGGATTATTTTGGTAAGATTAATATTTTGCTCTGTTACGTTGACAAATTTTTCATTTGGTTTTGGTGTCACCCTTTCAGAAATTGGGTAACTCAATTTCTTTCTTTCTTTGTTTTCTATTTTTTATTTGTTTTTGCCTCCACCAAATCATCTGTGCCCATATCCCACCCGTCTCCCTTTTCCAACCTCTCTGCCCTTTTCTCTATTCTCCCCAGTAACTAATTTCTTCTTTTTTCTGAGTTCAAATTTTTATTTCTTCTATAGTCTATGTGTAATTGTTCTTTGGACATTCATATTCTGTAGAAGAGTGAAACCATGCAAAATCTTTCACATCTTGACAGATATCACTCAACATAATCACCGCAAGATCCATCCATTTTGTACCAAATGCCACCATTTCATCTTTCTTCACAGCTACATAATATTCCATTGAATCTATGCTCCACAGTTTCTCTATCCTTTCATCTGTTGAAAGATGCTTAGGAGTTGGTTCCATGATTTGGTGATTATAAACAGTGCTTCTACATACGTGGGCTTGGTTTAGATCTTTTCTTGTTAAATGTTTTATGTTATTTGGATAGATACCTAATAGTGGTATTGCTGGGTCAATTGGGATTTTCATTTTTGCTTTCTTGAAACATCTCCATACCGTTTCCCACAGGGGTTCCACCGGGTTGATTTCCCCCTAACAGCAGTGGAATGAGAATTCTTTTTTCACAACCTCACCAACATCTGTAATTTCTTTGTTTTTCACATTGACCATTCTCACAGTGGTGAGGTCATATCTCGGTGTGTATTTAATTTGCATTCCTCTTATTATAAGTGATGTTGAACATTTTTTTCACATGTCTACAGGCCATCCAAATGTCTTCTTTGAGAAGAGTCTATTAAGGTCCTTTGTCTTTTTTTTTTTCTGCCACAAAAGATGGAAGAATGAGGCTTTCTGGAGCTTACTTCCATGAACTATCTCTGGAGAGTGAAGGGAAGGTGCTATGAGAAATAAATTTTCCTAAAGCTCACTGGAAACCTGAAACTGCTGTGTCTATTATTGCAGTCTGGCTAAAAGAATCCAGTAATAATGATCTTGTCAATATACCCAATTTTACAGACAAGGAAACTGAACCAATTCTCAGGATCTAGAGTGTGGCCCATAGTCAGCATGTTGGTAACCTGTTATCATGACAGGCAGGGGTAAACATGGCCTCAGGACAAGGGTAGGGTGCCAGACATGCATCCAAATAGACTACAGTCTGGGTCTTTGGCTGCATCTTTAAGGGCTTGCTGTGCTTTGAGAAGTGGGAGGTCATCAGAAAAATATTCCAATGTAATCATTGCCCCAATATCCCAGCAAAAGCTGATCTGAATTCCATCTGCTCCAACACTCCAGAGTTCACTTGACCTCCCAAGAAGAAATCACCCTCAAGTATCTTTGCATTTTCCTGGCCCCTGCATCCCTGTGCTGATTCTCCAGATTTCCAAGTTAGAGGAGAAAGAATATTCTTATAAGCTCACTCTGCATAGCAGTGTCCTATTCCACATCAGAATCCTAATTATTGAAAGAAGGGAAGAGTGGATGAATGAGAATCTTTCATACCTAGACACCAGCACGCACTAGTGGGAGTAAAATAAGAGTTTTTTTTTTTTTTTCTTTCCGAGAGGAGACTAGGAGAAGGAGAATGGAGTAAAGATGAAGTTTATGCAGTGGAGATTTCTTCCCCAGCATCTGCATATCAGAATGCAGCTGGGAGCTAGAAGCCAATTTCAAGTCCTCAGGCTGTTTGATTGGTTACCCTGGCCCTTCTAAATCTCTTGCAAAATAAAGAGGGAAGCAGAGGGGTCATTGTCAGGGTTTTCCTTATAGCAAGATAGAGAGTGCCAGGACAAAAGCTTGGGGTCCTGGCTTGGCACATCATACTTCCCAAAAGGCCTTGGTAATACCAGAGAACATCTGTCTCTAAGCCTCAACATGGGGCTGTGAGTCCTGGCATCACCCACTTCCACCATGGGCTGCTGAAAGATTCCTCTGTGATCCTGTGGGAAAGGCTTCCTCAACTATGCAGTGCTGCTGAAATTGAAGGTGGCATGGCTGTTTAACTAAAAATAATCATGATGCTGATGCTATCATTTTCATCAGGAGGGAAATCTAGCCAGCAACCCTGGACTTGGAGCTCTGGGGCCTTGGAGAGCAGAACCTACACTGGCTAACAGGCCCCTTCAAAACAGAGCTTTTCTGCCACCTCCTGGCTGTCGAAAGACACATTTTCAGCATGCAAATGAGCCAGAGATTGTTCTCCTCAAGTCTTGCATTAGACATACAGAGTCAGGGGTGTATTTGAGAATCATGTCATCTGGTCCAGAACCCTGGTATTGCAGATGAGAAAATCCAGCTCAGTAATGGTAGCTGATAACCCTTCCGGATAGCGTTCCAGAGTCAGACACCCAGGTCTTCTGACTCCCAAACCAGGCCTCCCCCAACCAAATGTCCACAGAAGGCAGGGGGGAGGGGATGGTGGAACCCTGCACAATCTCTGGATGGAGGGCAAGTAGTGGCCAGACAGAGTCCCTGGTGCTGGCCCTGGCAGCAGTAAGTGGGACCATGCCCCAGGATCTGTGCCCCCCAGACCTCATTCTCCTCACAACAGGAAATCTGGCCTGAAGGT